TTTTTTCGCTTTTAAATAGTTTTTATTATTTGCCTTATCTTTACTACACCTTTTACATAACTACTACATTTACATAACTTTTGTACTATTTTAATTACTGTAATTTACTGTAGTACTGTACTCTACTGTACTATTCTATTGTTACACACTAATCATACTGTATGTTTTTGTATTTTATACTGTTGATTTTATATTATTGATTTTCTTCTTTCTGACATTGCTATCGTTTAATTCGTTATTATTATTTACCTATTTTACTACTTTATTTTTGCCTTTTGCTTCTTCACATGTTTTTACTTCACACTATTATTTGAACTGTATGAAATTTGCTGTATAAATAAAGTTTGTATTTTGAAAACAAATACCCTAGCTTTCCTTAGCTGTTCAGATATGATAGGTGTTCATAGTAGTTTATGGAAAAGTGCCTACATATAATGTATGTAATGAATAAACATAATCTCATTTTGTTTTCTCTTAGGATACACCCTCTTTCATTCGCTGCTAGTAGCATATGTCTTTTGCAAAGCTTGTGTAGCAAAAAATAGACTTAAGTTGTAGGTGAATTGAAAATATGTAAACAAAACCACATTCTTGGCTGGAGAATACACTCTGTTCTGTGTCTGGTAACTGAACCGTGCATTGCCGTAGCTTTGATCAGGGAAGTGGTAGCTCTGTGGTTAAGATGTTGGACTTCTGCTTGGAAGGCTGTGAGTTCAAATCCCACCACCTCCAAGTTGCCACTGCTGGGCCCTTGAGCAAGGCCCTTAACCCTCAACTGCTCAGTTGTGTAAATGAGATAATTGTAAGTCGCCTTGGATAAGGGTGTCAGCCAAATGCCATAAATGTAAATGTAATCTGAGAGATCCCCCTCATACATTGCAAAATGCAGGCATTTTAACAATCAGGACATCTGAGATGAACTTTTCATCACTGCAGTTGTATATATTCTTCTTCTTGTGCCCTCAGCAAACTCTCCAGTCATACACTGTCCCTCACCAGTTGTGCAGACTCTATTGTGTAAATGCTTGCTTTTGTCTTCACATGCTCTGCAGTGTATTAATCCTTGTTCGACGCCCTCCTGCTCCTGGCAGTGCTAGGATCTCTGGGACCAGAGAAACAGTACTTATGAACAGCATGGTGGTCTGGAACTGCAGACACTAGAATTATACAGGAGACCAGGCCGGGCTTTAAGGGCGCTTTTCATATTTGCAGCTGAAATCAACCCTTGCAGGTAACTGCACCAGTTGAACGTGTGTCTGTCTTTCTCAGTGTAGTGTTTACTTGAATGTTTATGCAGTGTAACATTTACTCAAGCTAGGTTTGTCTCTTGAGCTAGTTAGAGTAACAAAAAAGTGGTGACTCAAAATCATGTTCCCCTGGGATGAGGAACACAAATGAAATCCCACTTCTTAAAATGATGATAAATGTAAAATAAAATTTGTCTTTTTAATTGTATTATACCATAGTATACAGTCAGGTCCAGAAGTATTTGGACAA